ATTGGGGTTGGAGCTGACCTCTGCAGGACTGCGGCTCTCTAGGACCGAACTTTCCTACCCCTGGTCTAGGAGGAGATGCTGACTAAATTTTGGACCAGAAGAAGAAGCTTATATAGCAGATTAGTAAATTAGCTTTTTCAAGCCAACTTTATGATGTTGCCATCTTTCTAAAGTATGTTTTACTGCCCTATAATTGACTTCAAATATCAGGTGAAAACTAATTTTACAAGAAGATTAGTAGACCTGTTAGTAAAAATCTGTTGACTTGAGCAGTCTTTGTTGCATTATATGCTAATGATGACAGCTCAAAAATGGGAAAAAGCGCATTGATTGTCGGGGAAACTGGATCATTCAGAAGAAACCCATGCAGAAATGGGTCAAATTCAACTATTTGCACAAATAGATACATTGAGATCCTTTATCTCTTATATCTAACCATATAGGGCCTTTAAAGGGGTCATATGATGTTGCGAAAAAGAACATTATTTGGTGTATTGAAATGTTTATGCGGTTTAAGGTTCAAAAAACACATTATTTTCCACATACTGTACATTATTGTTTCTCCTCTATGCCCCGCCTTTCTGAAACGCGTCGATTTTTACAAAGCTCATCGGTCTGAAAAGCGAGGTGTGCTCTGATTGGCCAGCTATCCATTGCGTTGTGATTGGTCGAATGCCTCAAGCGTGTGAAGGAAATGTTACGCCCCTTACCATATTGTGATGCCTTGTGCCGGCCGTAGAGACGAGACAAAAACATTCAAACCTATTATAAACGATATATGTTTTCTTTTGACGCAAGTACAGGAGTTAAAGACACCTAACATAAGTGGGACTGAGATATATTTTACTTCTAAAGTTATTTTAGCCCTCTTGTAATTTGGCTCTAATCGGAGGTGAAAATTGTAATTTTGACAGCCCTCTACAAAATAGTGGATTACTCTGTAAATATTCATCCATGATATTTAATATTTTGGATTTTATCACTATTTATGTTTGTATTTATTCAGAAAACATATTAACAAAATAAAAAATTTTAGCCGAGGAAGTTTCTGAAATTAGGTTAAGGAATCACCCTTTGAATAACAGAAAAGGTAAAAATAGTTGAGAGAAAATATGATGCGTGTCAGATCCGCGTCACGTTCAGCAGCAGCAGCTCTTAAAGCAATAACAGCCAAAATAACCTAATAACCAGCTGCTGTGATGTCTATTAATCAAAGGACAAAGAAAAAAAAAAGAGGAAAAAATAACTTTTATAGCTTTAAGGATTCATCTATATTTAATTTAGAATTTAGTGTTTGATCAATTTCAATTTCTGTATATTTCTGCTGAAGGGCACAGGTAAATATGACATTTATTATAATGGGGTTATGTGAAGATTGTTTTAAGTTCACTTAAATTAGAAGTTATTTTTTAAAGTCTAATAAATGTTAAAATTGATAGCTCTTAATTATACTGTAATGTTGAATGGCTATAGTCAATGGTTAAATATTGGGGGGTGGGGCAATTTTATAGAGAAATCAGTATTGGTATCATTGCTACTGGCCTTCAGTCATAAAAAAGATGCCATTAAACAAATATTAAAAATATACTGTCTATGTTGTTTGAACATTAATTTGAAGATTGAATGTGAAATTATTGCAATATAAAGGTATATTTAAAAACTTTAATGTTAGGTGGGATTAATTGCTTTCCAATGTGTGTGCATCTATATATATATAGATGCACACACATTGGAAGTCAATTGCTTCTAGCAACTGTTTGGTAACCAACGTTCTTCTAAACATCTCCTTTTGTGTTTAACAGAACAAAGAAATTAATACATGTTTGGAGCAACACAAGGGTGTGCAGACGATGATTTTTTTTTTTTTCATTTTCGGGTGAAATTTCCCTTTAAAATGTGCTTAATGTCAATGAGTCAGAAATCCTTTTAGATTTTGCATCTATTTTTCCTTCCCTAGATGCATGTCCATTCCTGTGACTATGCGTGCCATCCGACGCAAGGCAGAGACCATTCAGGCAGATACTCCAGCATTGTCCCTTATAGCTGAAACTGTGGAAATTATGGTGAAGAAGAACTTGCCCCCAACTGGCAGCCCAGGTTACATGGGAATGGGTACAGGACCAGATGGGAGCAACCCAGTGGGTCTTGCTGGTTTAAATAGTGGAACCAACTCTGCAGGAAGCAACAATGTTGTGGATGTAGGAGGAAGTGGATCTTTCCAAGGCCCAATCACCTCGCTTTTCAACATGGGTCGTACTGGTCAGGGAGGCTCATGTGCCGACACCATAGGACAGGGTGGAGGCCAGCAGCAAACAATGCAACAACAACATCAACAGTCTCAGAGCCATGGTTCAGATGACTTTAGTAAAGTTACTCAGAATCCAATCCTAACCAGCCTTCTGCAAATAACAGGCAGTGTTGGGTCCAGTCCAACTCCCCAGCCACCTCAGCCTCACCAGACCCCCCCACCAACCACCTCACCGGCAAGCAACACCAAAAACCACCCCATGCTAATGAACCTACTGAAGGATAATCCCTCACAAGATTTTGCTGCATTGTATGGCAGTAGCCCTCTTGAAAGACAGAACTCATCTGGCTCCCCGCGGACAGATAGCCAAGGGCAGTCTTGCCCCAGCACCAAGGGCAAGAAAAAGCGTCCAAGAGGCTCTGATAAAGGAGTAATGGGAGCAGGTGGCGGAATGAACATGAAACAACAATCTCAGCAGCAGTTGGGAGGCATGACCCAACAGCATCATCACACACACCACTCTGAAGACGATTTCCACCGAGAGCTTTTCTCTATGGACGTTGATGCCTCCCAGAACCCCATTTTTGATGTTAGTCTTCCAGGTGATGGACTTGACACCCCTCACAGTATCACTCCAGCTCCAAGTCAGTGTGGAACACCACCTTCAGGTCCTGGAATGCCATACCACTCTCAGTGTCATGTCCAACCCCAGACACAAGTCCAGTCTCAGCCACAAGGATCTATACCCCGTATGGTCCGCCTCTCCAGCTCTGACAGTATTGGGCCTGATATCAATGACATTTTGTCTGATATTCCTGATCAGGCCAACAAAGGAAGCAACAGCAGTCATGGCCAGCACCTCATGGCTGGTGAAGAGGGGGGTTCCTTGGGAACTCCACTCCGGGATTCTTCCAGCTCAGGTCAAGGCAGTGCCGTTTTTGAGGCAGATCTGTTTAATGCAAACAGCAATGAAAATCCCTTTACTGATGCGGCAGACTTGATTGCAGAAGCTGCTACTGCAGCAACACCCAATAGCGATACTTCCTCAACTAATTTCTTTCCAGACACAGACTTCAACCCAGAGCTTTTATCAGGACAGGGAAGTTTTTCACAGACCTACTTTGAAGACAGCTCCCCCAGCCCTGACCCAGATCTTGAACTGGTTAAAAGTTTCAGTGGGGGAAGTCAGCAGAACACTCCTACAGGCACACCTCAGAATCCTGCCTCACATGGACAAAATACTCCAGAGGCTTCATTGAAAGACCCTTTTGAAATGGGTATATTTAGTGGGAATGGTAGTGGAGGAAAGCCAATACTGGGCCCAGCATCAGATATGGCGGACTCACACTTTTCTCATACTGGTGGAGGCCAAAGTCCACTCATGTTGGGCATTGTGCTAGCAGGTAATGATTTTAAAAGTGGTGATGCAAAGGTTAAACCACAGCAGATGAGGGCAAAGGAGGATAATGGGGGAGGAAATTCTGGAATAGGAATGGGGAGTGTATGCTCTTCTGAAATGAAGCAGGTAAAACGCAGTCGCACTCCTTCAAGTGAGGGCAAATCAAAAGACAAACCACCAAAACGTAAGAAGCTAGATCCAGATGGCAAGTCACCTTCACACAGCTCAGGGGGTCGGCCATACACTCCTCCTTGTGGAAGTGCAACTTCTGGAGGATTAGTAAGTGCAGGTGGATCTAAGTCCCCTGGGAGCTCAGGCAGGTCTCAGACTCCACCAGGAGGTGCTACTCCACCAATCCCCAAAATCACTATACAAATACCCAGGACTTTAACTGGAGGAAAAACATCATCTCATGGAGGCTACACATCAAGTAGCTCAGCAAGCGGAGGTACTGGTAGTACAAGTGGCACAAGCAGTAGCAAAAGCCACCATTCCCACTCCTCTTCTTCTGGGAAGATAAAAAGTAGTAAACTTGAAGGCTCTGTTGGGCAAGGCAATATCCCCAAATCATCAATCATTGCAGGTATTGGCAGTGGTATGCCTTCTCAATCCAAAGGATCTTCCATGGGGATGGCTGTAGGCAAGCCATCCTCTTCTCCCATAACAAAGCACGGTTTATCAGGCTCAGGCAGTGGTGGCAGCAGTGGAACAGGAAGTGGAAATAAAAAGCCCCAAGGTGGTAAGCCACCCAGCTCACTCATGAACCCCAACATCAAGCCCAACATATCACCCTCACACTCTCGTTCTGGAAGTTCTGACAAGCTGTCCTCTCCAATGAAACTCCAACAAGGCCAGTTGCCTGGAACCCCACCCTCTTCTAAGGCTAAATCCCCTATTGGCTCAGGTGGTGGAGGGTCAGGAGGATCCAAGTCTTCTTCAGGTGGTGGAATGGGAACCCAAAAACTATTAGGCAGTAACTCATCCACAGGCACTTCTTCATCCTCTACCTCCTCTGCAAGCTCCTCTTCGTCATCTGGCTCCATACCCTTTTCTTCAAATGGTCAGTCACAGTATGGGAGCAGTGGCGGAGGTTGCAGTGGAGGGGGTGGTGGAAGTGGAAACAACCCTAATGCAAAAGGCAAGTCCCCAAGCCGAAACAAAAAGCCATCTCTTACCGCAGTCATAGACAAACTGAAAAGTGTGGGTAGTGGGGGAATTGGGGGAGAGGAGGGTGAAGGTTGTGGTGGCAGTAGTGGGGTAGTGCCACAAAATACTGGTCCTACATCCTCCAAGCATGGTATGTCCTCCCTGGGAGGCGAGTTTCTCAGCAAGCGAGACAAGATAGACAAAGATGGCAAATCAAAGGTGTCTGGATCAGGGGGCAATTCTGGTGACAAGAAGACTGATTCCAAAAGTAGTGCTGTGACAGGCACTGGTGTGGCAAAGATTATCATCAGCAAACCAGAAGGGGGCTCTCCAAGCATAAAATCTAAAGTAACTCTTCAGAAACCTGGAGAAAATTCTGGAGATGGTGCCATGCGTTCACAGCACTCAGGCCACAAAGCATCACCCCTTTTCAGTGGTTCTACACCAAAACATGACCGCAGCTCTCCAAGCCACAGCCGTTCCCCTGGGTACACGCCTATAAATCCAGACAGTGAGAGTGAGTCTGGTAGCAGTTCAATTGCTGAAAAATCTCATCAGAACAGTCCTAGCTCTGATGATGACCAAACTATGAGACCACACCAACCAATTCAAGACTACATGAGTTCCATATCCATTAGCCAGAGTGAAAAACACAAGAAACATAAAAAAGAGAAGAAGAAGCAGAAAGAGCGGGAAAGAGATCGAGAAAAGGAAAAGAAGAAGTCAACAATGACTTGTGGGCCCTCCTCTCACCCAGTAAAGACAGATGGCTGGTCCAGATCCCCTATATCTTCAGAAACTTCAATGTCATTGCTCAGCTCTGAACGCTCCTCACGACCAAGTCCTGTGTATATCCATGCAGAGGATGATGACCTCATGGACTCTGCCTTGACAGGCAATCTAGAACCTTTCAAATAAAAAAAAAGAAATTAATTAATTAATAGTTTGCAGAGGCAAAGGAATGCAGCTGACTTTTCTTTTAGACTGCATTTTTTTAAACAATTGGAGAAAAAAAATCAAGTATTTTATGATAATTGTATTATGTATAAATGTCACTATTTTTAATGTGGAATTATTCTTTTGAGGTAAATATCTTAAAGTTGTCAAATTTGATTTAAAAACAAAAAAAAAGAATTCCATTTAAAATCATTTGGCAGTATATAGAATATTGGTACAAGATTTTAAATGGATTAATAGTAGCTATGTATGTGTTTTTTTTCTTCTTTTCTTTTCTAATGATATGCTTTATTTAGAATTTTTCCAAATTAGATGGTATATACACTGTGAAATCAAACGTATAATAGTCTTGTCTGTCATTGAGTTATTTAGCTTGCTTAACTGGATGCATTGTCAAAAACAGTATATAATGAAAGCCTCATTCCTTTGTAGTCTGTTTACCTGTAATTAAAAGAAATTTAGCAATAATTGAAAGAAATGAATGAGCATATTGTTTAAAAAAAATTAAAACCACCTTTTTAATCTTAGAAAATATGAGTATTTTAAATGTCCAATTATTTTACATATTACATTTCTACTATCACTTCTGTTTACTACTGATGAAGATATGTGTAACAATAATTAATTTCATTGTGTCTTTTCTGTAAAATGGATTAAGTTTTACAAGACTGAAATAAATGTCACTGCCAAGTTTTTGTTGATCTTTTGGCCTCTTGCCTATTTGGGCCTGCAGTATGATAATGGTATGAGTTAAAGTATTTTTGCACATTTCTAAAGCTCATATTTGTTGTAGGTTAAAACTCTGTGGATTCTTTTAATCAAACACTCCATGAAGTCTGAATCTGTGAGTGTACTGTGAATCAGAGTGAGACAGATGTTTGTGTTATAAATGCTGATTGTGCATAAGATTTAAATAATCTATTAATTTACATATATTAACAACTGCCATTATTGCCATAGACACATTTGGCATACCTTATTCTTAGGTAGTTAAAAATGGCAAAATAAGAGGGTGTTCAGTAATTAAACATTATTTATGATTGTTGAATTTATTAGTAACTTAATATAGTTAAGACAATCTTAATTGTTAATTGATTTACTGTAATGAACTGTGGGCTATTTAACTCTTACACACATGATACACGGGGCAACTTTTTTTGAGCAACACTGCTTGAGCATTTTTCCATTGAGAATGGGTAACAAATTTCTATCTGGATATTTTAGATCAGTCGTGGGCCCTGTGTCACACCTGGTTGCCTGTTGACGGCAACATTTCCCAAAGTTGCCTGGCAACATTGCTCAAAAAGTGTGTATCATCAGCCTTAGAAGTTCTGGTATAGAATAGCACATTATCAGTTGTACATAATAAAGAAAAGGAATAACATGAAGAGCTGAAATAAAAATATTTTTGTAGAATATCTTTTAAGACATTTTAACATTTGAAATTAGTTATTTTGGCTACTAAAGCATTAAAGATTAGTTTTTCAACTGTACTAGGGTACTGTTTCTGACATAGATACAATTAGAACAAAAGTACTTTTCTTTATGAACTGGAAGTGGAGAATATTAATTATTTTAATGTAGTAGACAAAAGCAATATGGAATAAAAAAAGTTTTAATTACTACTTTTTGTGTGGTAATATAAAAAGCAAAAAGTGTCCCAACTCTACACAGCCTACCATATATAGGATGGTGGAGAGTTGACAGAAAAGTAGAGGCAGAACCTGGCTGTATTGCAAACTTGCCTACTATATACATTATGCAAATGTTTATCCGATGTCCAAATTCACAGTAAGGGAGAGGGGGGCGATTTGAGCCTATGGGGATATTGAGCCACTCCTAGGAATCCAAAAAATTGGTCATGTGACTGCAAATATTTTAAGAGTCATCCATTTCATTCACCTTGTGATTGACAGAGGCCCATGTAACTACATTGGTAACCTTTCTTTTATTATTATTATTGTATTTTATGTTTTTTGGGACTCATATGTTAGTGCTGTATGAAGTTATAATATGAGGTTATACTGTTAGCAGGATGTTAGCTCTAAACTGCTGGGTTAAGTTGAGCTCATCTTGCTTCTTATGATTACTTACAAACGAGCGTAGGCAGCGGATGGGCCTGACGGGCACAGGTCCGCCCACTCTGATGAAAGGCCTCCCCCCCCCAGTTTATTATACAAATATAATATTTAAATAATTGTTTCATCTATTTTAACACAATTAGAGAACTATTATAACATCTAAAATAAATAACGTGTTTTTGCATAATTCATGATGAGTTTGATTGACAGCAGTGTTAGCCAAGTGTTATCCAGGCTGGTTTGGGCATGTCGCGCATGTAAATTCGTGCGTGTTCAGCTGTGTTAGAAAATGTTAGAAAAACAGCAGCCATGCATAATTCTGTTAAAAAAAAAAAAAGACTTTTAAAAACTCGCACTGACAAGTGAGAGAGCCCGTCCATCAGTCCGGAAGTAACGGTAAGACTTTCAGTTCCACGCGTGAACCGGTTCATTCTGTGAAGCCGGGAAACACTGTCAGGCCGATTATCAATGTCATTTGAGCTCAGTCAGTGTTTTCAGCCGGTGTTCAAAGTCATTTGGTGTGCGGTGTCTAAAGAATTTAAGACCAGCTGTTACCAGTCGTCCTCACCATTTATTTTTTAATTTTTTTATATAATTTTTGTGACTGACGCCGGCGATTAACTGCACCCGTTTCCTAATTTGTAGTCTTATTAATTTAAATAACGAATTAACAAATAAATAAAAAAATCACAAACATGACATATCTGAATAAAATAATTTTATACACTTTAGTTATATCTAATTTGGCATTTTCAATTAACATAGGCCTGTTACATTCTTCTTATTAGCCTATTAGGCCTATTATTATTATTAAGTTACTTTTATTATTAAATTAATATTAGGCTACAATTAATAATTTCATAGCGCATCACCGCATAACTGATGCGCTGCAGGGATAATAAAGATTAGGCTAGCTTACTCATTGAAAATGTTTTTAAAAAGGTCTTTCAAAACAGGTTTATTATACAATGAATTACAGGCTTATAATTAAAATTATTAACACTGCAATCATCAATGAAAAAGCTTTATTTCAAGCACTGACTTTTTTAAAAAGAAAAAAAAAAAAAAACGTGTTTAACTACGTTTCTTTTTTTATTTTTCCCACTAGCCTATGTTCGGGCCACAAGAGAAATATTAAGGGAGCAAATGAAAACATTTAGCTATATAAGCTACCATTATCAGCATATGAAGTAGATTCGTCTCTTGTCGTCTCTGAGAGACCTTCGGATGAGACGTTAAACCGAGGTCCTGACTCTCTGTGGTCATTAAAAATCCCAGGATGTCCTTCGAAAAATATTAGGGGTATAACCCCGGAATCCTGGCCAAATTTGCCCATTGGTGTCTGACCATCATGGCCTCCTAACCATCCCCATACACTGATTGGCTTCATCACTCTGTCTCCTCTCCACCAATAAGCTAGTGTGTGGTGCGCACTATGGCTGCCGTCGCATCATCCAGGTGGATGCTGCACAGTGGTGGTGGTTGTGGAGATTCCCCCGTTTTAGCTTTGAGTACCCAGAAAAGCGCTATATAAATGTAACCAATTATTAATATAATAAACAGGATGTGTTCTCTCAGTTGAGGGATCAAAACCCTGAAATAACTTTGAGCAAAAAAAAAGCCAGAGATTTTGGCTTATTAGTATTATAAAAGTTGTCATATCTGTGTCCTCTTATGTCAGGTTCGTATTTAATCAATAAATTCAATCGAATAAAAAGACATGCTGGCTATCAACAAAATTCATAGATGGATTGTGCTTACATGAATCCATAGAATCCACTCACTGCTCAAATCGCCAGAGTTTTTGTTCAGGTATTGTGTGCAGCATGAATCATCTCATTATATCAAAGTGTTGACGCGATGTAAATTCCACGGTCGGTCCGTGGTTCATTATCAGTTGGATTACTAACCAAAATATCCTTGCACACAATAATGGATCAAAAACAATGTACAATCACAATTGTACATTTATTTTCAGTGAACAAATTAAATATACACATTTATTTACAGTATCAGATGGTTTTATCCAATGTGACTTTTAAACAGAAGCATTCAGTTCACATATTTGCACCTGTACGAAAGTTAACCACAAAATCAACCATGGTTTTACTATTGCATGTTTCAAGGTTACAATCAAAAAATATCCTTTAAACAGCCAGAGGTGACTGTGACCCACTGGGGAGCATCTTCTGGCAACAAATTCATGTCCATATGTCAATAACTAAGATAATACAAGTTGTGCTCAAAGTCATGTTCAGTTAAACAGACAAACATTAAAAGGTAAGTTTGGTGAATTTAAATCCACTTTATATTGTGACAAAGTCTGTAATATGTAAATGAACAATATTCGGATGATGCAAAACATTATTTGGCTCACAAATAAATGGGGATATCTCATGGAACTCAGAGAAAGATTAAACATTATTGGTTCACATATATTACCATCATAGTAACTACAAAGCGGGTTGAAAATCACCAAACTTATGCTTTAAGGCAATGACTACAATACATAATATTTGTCAGGTTTGTATGTCCATCTGCCACTGTATATATATATATTATACACACACATATACACACACACACACACAAAGAAAAACAACTAGATAGAATAGAAGAACATTGATAAAAAATAAAAAAGAAGATAAATAGATAAAGTAGAATTAAAATAGAATAGAAAGTGCCTGAGTTGGAGGGTCAAATAATATATATATACATATATATATATACCATTTTATTTACAAAAATATTGATCTGCAACGTGCCATGAGAGCATCAAAATGCATGAGTGTTTTTGTTCATGTGACAGAAGACAAAATTGATAAAATTGAAAAAAAGGTTGAACCACTGGAGTCACATGGATTACTTTCACAATATCTTTCCATTCTGGGCCTTGAATGTGTAAGTTGCGTTGCTGCCTATGGGGGGACAGAAAGCTCTCAGATTTCATCAAAAAGTATCTTCATTTGTGTTCCGAAGATAAACAAAGGTCTTACATGTGTGGAACGACATGAGGGTGAGTAATTAATGACAGAATTTTCATTTTTGGGTGAACTATCCCTTTAATGTTTGTGGAGCACAATTTGACTGTAATGGTAAAACTAAAAGTTAATTTTCATTAGTTTTTTTATTTTCTTAAATAAATTTAACCCCTCAATCTCTATGTCTGAAGATCCCTTACATGGCTGAGGAGACAGAGGACTTGGTACACTTGATTCCTCCAGCACTCCCACAGGTCTTAGTTCCTGAAGTACAATATCAGTTATTATGTATTCTAAACTATAATGTTAATAGTTTATAAAAGATAAAATAAATAAAG